ATATATATAAAACAAACATACACTTTGTCTTATGCATTCTTCTCTTTAAAAGCCGATTTTTCAGTGCTGTTTCGAAAGTTTCAAGTACAGGCGATACCATTAGACTTCCATAATTCAAGGTTTCAAGACGGGAAAAACGCATCTCTGATTAAAAAAGCAATACTTCAGAGGAGACTACCAACTGGGAAAGAGTCCTGTTATTATTTAAACATGACACAAAGTAGGGGACACGTATATTCAAGGTCTTTAAATTACTGGTAGATCAATCTTTGTTTCTGATTTGGAAGCGTACAACTTGACAATCATTCTGAAAAGTTTTCTAAAATGGCAAAGAATTTTCTTTACAAAACTTAACCTTGTATGGCTAAATTCTCAAAATATACTATTTCTAAAAGGCTGCGGTGATCACTCAAATAAGCTTTTTTAGATACTTAGTTACAACTAAAATGCAGCGACAGTTTTCAGACAAAAAAATACGTTTTTTTTTTTTTGACTTTACAAACTTAATAATTTTGTTTTAAGTAACATTCTTTTAGCAGTGGTCTTGGAAGCGGTGAATTGTAACGCAATGTTGTTTACAAAGTACATTTGTCGTTTTGAAGTTAGTTTTTTGCGGCATTGAAGCAAAAACAAAACATTTTTTGGATATCGAACTGAAATTTTAAAAACAATAAGGAGGAAGTATTCTGCTTAAAGTACTTTTATTTTTCTACTAGTTACTTTCAAGTATAATGAAAACGATAAACAAACAAGTCGATGCTACATTTCAAAACGAAAGAAGTTATCAATAGATTAAAATGGATATAAATCAACGGTGTACTTCACTACTGCTAACTTAAAGTAATTATAATAACTGTATTTTATTTGGATTGTCAATACCAATTACGCTGCAGCAAAAGCAAAAAAATTAGTGGATTATTGAGTTATTTAAAAAGTTAATGCACGATTTGGAGCTGAAAAATAGAGAAGTTTTGAGCATATGCTTTCATCAATTTAACCGCAGTGGTTAGTTTTACAACATGTACTTCCTTAAGTACGCGAAACCACTTTCAGGATTTCATTACGATGGAACGTCTCATGTTGTCTGCATTTTAAAAGGTTGTATTTTTTCTACAGCTTTTTTAAAGTGAAAGCTGTAAAGGTTTCAGGTATATGAACAAATGACAACTGGCAGAGGAAAGCTTGGGAATTAGCTAGCAGAGGGAAAAACCTGTAACAGTAACTGTAGTTGCACGTCCTGAGAGATACAAATTCTGGCAGATTAGCAAGTAGCTTTTTTCTTTTAATTATTTACGTATTTATTCGAGTGACGCTACTACGTACATTACTGAATTAGACGGTATAAAGTAAAAGATAGCGATTGACTATCCTTACGTACCACTGAACAGTAGTCGATAGATGTTTTAAGTGGACAAGAAGCAGCAGTGGACGCGAAGGTTCACCTATTTTTACAGAAGCAGTTGGTGATTTAATAGGCGATCTGGTAACACTTATTTCTTATTATATCTTGTGACATAAAAT